TCTGAATAATCCGGTGAACAGAATAAGTAAACAGTAATTTATTCTGCATAAAAAGAACCCAAGCTTGGGGACTGCAAAGCAAACCGTACACATCTGAAAAGAAACGAACGTCAGGGTCGCTAGCGGTATTGGTTATGCAACTGGTAAAATTGCCAGCTGCATTAGCTGGAGAACTAAATCAACTCCGTTGTTCTTGCTCATATTTTAAAAAGAACATTTTTCCACCGTTTTCGTCCGTATCTTATTAAGGACATTTTCAGAGATCCCAACAACGCGAGGCTGTGAAGGAGATGTAATTTCTTGCGAAATCCTAGAGAAAGGCTGCTCGAAATTGGGTGGAAAACCGGAATGTATTACTTGCAAAACCGATGAATGCAACAGCGCTCCAGCAATTCCCACTGCTGTTATCACGACCTTCATGTTATTATTTATTTTTCAGAGCTGCTTTACTATTGAATAAAACTATTTGTACTAAAAAGTTGTGTTGGGATGCTAAACAGAGAAGCAAGAATTGGAGAAAGCTAGAAGTCCAGGTTGATGAAGTAAGCGATGCCGGTGAAGTATGAGAGCCAGCTTATGATCGTAGGCTGTAGTTAGCCTTATGTCCCTTTACAGCATCCGAGTTAGCTTGCACTGAATGGCAGCTATAGAGCTAGATAATAAAGTATTGAAAATTGCAAGAATAACAGTTTACAGACCTTTGTCAAAAGGGACTTTGCTAGCTGCCTGCGCAATGCGTTCCGCTAAAATCGCTGAAGGCCGCATAAGATAACGCACAAACTGCAAATGGACTACAATGAACAATAAAAATTTGAGTTTAAAATTCCAAGCAGCAAAATGTGGTCTTGTGTTGCGCTAATTTCAAAGCACTGAATGCACCGAGTATAACTATGCCATCCCAACAACATCGGATCCCCAAAGTTATTGCCCGGGCAATGCTGATAGTCCAGAAAAAGTGACTAAAATCTTACAAATTATAAAAATAACATTCTTTTCTCAGGAGTCAGGCGACTATTGATGAGGATTCCTTAAAATAAGATGTTAATTTCACCGTGCCAAGCCCTCCTGCTTGAAATCTGTCACCACTTATCATCGGTGCTTCCAAAACATCTGTCTCACCATTGAAGAAATTTAAAGGAATCATGCAAAATTTGAGTAAAAGCGAAACCTGTGAAAGGAAAAAAGCGGGAGGATTGGAGTGTAATTTCAGAAGTTCGTTACTGATCGACTGTGGGATGGCCAGTGGCAGGTAGGACGGTCGATCGGACAACGAGTCAACAACTGGTAGCTGCAATATCCTGCTGTTTCTCATATCACCGCTTAATGTCCAATCTTCTTGCTTTTCATTCGGCTAAAATCAAAAATTCGTCCCAAAAAATTTCATGTTCATAAGCCAAAACAGCAGCTGGCCGATGCTTGAGTGTTTGTTAGTTTCAGATAATTTGAACCTCATTGTTGCTTTGATCGTAAGAAATGTTCAGTTCCTTTATAAATTTAGGGTTTACATTTGCCCTTCGCAGTTAAGTATGTTATGTAAACCTTGTCAAGCTTCTTACTTTTCCAAAAACGCAAGCAAACATAAACCAAGTTGGAAGGCTACAGAATCAAATAGTCTGACCTTAAAAATTTGAGAAAATGAACATTTTGAGATTGGAAGGAAGGCATAATTCCATCCCCTTGAAGCATAATTCCACGATCTTCCATCATAAGTCAAAACCAACGTACGATTTGAGCCATATGCAACAATGAAACAGTACGCAACGTGATGCAACTGGCATCCGAAACCGCACCGTTTATTCAGATCACATGTTAAAATCCTGCAACTTCAACAATCAGCAATTTTTTGGATGAGGAACAACCTACAAATTGAAATCTTCAAGGAAACAATCTGCAACAACAGCAGACCCAGACTGAGCACTCGTATCTACGGTCGCTACATTAATTTACGCGAAGCGTTCACTAAAACGGATGCTGTAGTTTAACGGCTGGTGTTCCGGTGCATCGCTCCGTTAACCCTCCTTCCCTCTCCCTTCCATAATTTAGCCCTGATTTCTTGAGTTATTTTGTGATCATCGCTACAGTCATGCTATCAACAGTTTTTAATGCCCAAGTACATCCAGATAAAACTTACAATCGCTTTTAAAACAGTTCAAAATCCTGTATGCTGTAGCCATTGAAATTCCCTCCCTGGTTTAAGGATAACGGATCAAACTTTGAAGCCTCCCACTCACTCTGCGAAATAATTTATTAGTAAAAGACGAGTCTTCGAATTGTGAGACACACATTCGGACAAGGCAAAATAACTACGCACCCTATTACCAGCGAAAAAAAGTTACTTTTTTCGCTGCTAATAACCAATGAATTACCGGCAAACGAAGTTTTCAAGCAGCGCTTTGCGCAGGTGGTAAAGTTGCTTTACTTACCGTACAGCCTGGCAGTCATCAGGATTCTGCATTTTGTTGAAGTATTCGTGAAAATTTGCAGATATATTAGCCAATTCCTTTGTTCGCCAGTAGTCGGCAGAATCAATGTTTCCAAGCGCTGCCGACTGGCCAAGTAAGGAAAGCATCTGCAAAACTGCAATAAAAATGCACTGCTCTGAAGTCAGTTTGCTTAATTTTCAAGTCCACTCTTGCACATGATTTTGGAAGCCCGAAGCAGAAACAAACTCTCAATGCTAATGCATAAAAATTTGTAAAAAACATCGCCCCTAAAAATAATAGAGTTCGAAAACGTTATTTTCACAACTCACTGGCAAAGGCATATGACGGCTCACCCTAAAAAAAGCATACGAGCGGAAATTCTTAAAAAAAAAAAAAAAAAAACGCAGAAATGCATCATGCATGTGGGCAGTAAGTGAAAATTTGCGGTTTGCAAATCCCATCCACAGAAAGACCTAACTTGTGCAGTTGTTAGTCAGCTGCATCATTGTCCACCCTGACTAAAACGTGATACTCGGCAGCAGCCGCGCCTGAAGATGAAATTTGTAGGTTGGCTGGACAAAGTGCATAAAAGCATCTTACTTGGTTTCGTGCATGATTTTCGAAAGGAAGATTCTTGTGCCAACTGAATTGACTGTTGAGGTAGTAATAGAGCTCCCAGATCGAATTATGCACCGCACGTCTGGCCATCTAAATTAACCACTCACTGAAGCATCCAGTTTAATAGATACCCATCAAGACGAAATCTTTCTTTACAGTTTCGTATCTTCAACACTGGTATTTTAAGGGATCACTGTCGCAGAACAAATAAATATCCGCACTTACTTCGTATTCCGTCGAAAAGTGGGGATGAAGTGCTTCCTGTCCAAAGGCATCGTCCAGACTCGTTCCTGCCCGTCGATCCGTCTTCTGCCTTTTTTCCCACGCATTGGTCAGTTTAGCGCGAACATGTTCATATTTCTTTTTGATCTCGATTTTCTTCTGAGTTTCCTTCCTCAGCAGTTTTCTGAGCCCATCATTTTCCCGTCTTAGTTTCATAAGATCCTGCGCTGCTCGCTCATGCTCCATTGAGAAATCTTTCTGTTCATTAGTATCTTTCTCTGAAAACCTTTCATAAAATCGTATGGCATAGAACTGAATGGCGGAGCATATAAGTGAGTGCTCTGCGCTTCTCTGGAGCATACTATATATAAGCAGCTTTACCGCACAAATTTTATTAGGTGCAGAACACAGCGAAAAAGCGTGCTAGTACTGGTGTGCGTGGATTCATGATGTCAAGTCGGTAAGTAGAATACGCTCACCGAGCGGACTTGCACCACTTCGTGAAGCTGGGGCGGGCTGCAAGTCAATTCAGAGGCAGAAGGATTTTAGCAAAATATCAAAAAGAAGGGAGAGAAACTGTTCCTTCATTCTCAACTCAGATGTGC